AAATTTGTCAAAACTCCATCGAAGCTTCAAATTACTTATGGCTTATATCATTAAAAAGGCGATAACTAGAAGAAGATGAGTAACAAATATTTTTCAAAGCATAAAAAATTAAATAACTGAGAGAAAAAAAATACTGAGGTATTGGCAAGGTGGAAGAAAATTCCTTCAATTAAAGCCTAGAAATAATTTAGTAGGGCTTTGCTTCACAAAAGAGGGAAGAGAGAAAAGGAGCTCAATCACCCAAGCTCTCTTAATTATGTGAGAGGAGGTCCAAAGGTGGCAGCCACATCTCCACTATCCAAATCAAAAAACTCCTAACAAAGATCAAAGGTCCACAATTACTTTAAGCCTAAACCCAACTTTAAGGCTAAAAATGCCTATAACTCAAAAACCAACACCTTTTTGAAAAAACTAACACTACCAATGTTTCTAAAACATGTTTTTATTCGAAGGTTGACTATTCACAAGCCCATATTTCATGGTACTTCTTGTTGTTCTCATTGCATTCAAGCTTCAGTATACCAAAGCAATTGAACTAATAGAGGTGGATTCGAACACTAGAAAAGACTGGTTATATGAATTGGGTCTGTTTGTATCACAATTGATTGTATTCTCGCTATCTAAAATCAAGTATCAAACTACAAAACACTGAGGTTTACTACTTCCATCTTAACTCAATCCATAATCCATTCTACGATTATCAATCCAATAATATTTCTCTCAATCACAATTCTTCATAAGTAAATAATAAAAGCAAAGAAAACAAAGAGGTAGCACCAAGCTTACCCCGGCTTACAACTCTCACAGTGTGGCTCTCGGCTTACGACTCTCATAGTTTGACTCTCGGCTTACAACTCTTATAATTGGACTCTCGATCTTTCTTTCCTCAACCTATTTATCCTACCAAAAAGATGATCCGTCGGTCAATAGATTCCAAAGATTATATCCCTTTGAATTCTTAACCATTTATTCCACTAACAACCTATTGTTATCAACTAAATTACCTAATCATTACTCTAATTTTTAAGGTTATCAATAACCAACCAGTAACTTATCACAACATTTATTTACCTATTCTACATAGCCCTACTCCTAATTGTGTAGCGTCCTCGCAAACATTATTTAGCCTCAACTTATAAACAGGTAGCAGTGTTGGCTTCTTCAGTCAATGGTGTTGGCTTACAATCCTTTGAATTCTTAACCTTCTCCTCTGCTACATCTTCGTCGTCTGCCTCAGTGTTCGATGGTTCTCCATTCGAACGCGTCGTCAAATCTTCATTTAATAAATCTAATTCTCATACTTGAGACTCACGTCGAACAATTTGGTTGTCATACTCCTCCAACATCTTCTGCCATTCTTCTGTCGGTTTCAAAGATATCTTCGAAGGTGTTATCACTGAAACTAACGTATTGGTCTGCACTAAATTATTGGCCTCCTTCGCTAATAGAGCTAGTTTAGTCTGCAACATTGCAACCTCTAACTGCAGCCATTCTTGCCATTCCTTCCAATCAGTCTGCATCCTTACTTTCTCAGATTTCATGTTCGCCATCTTCTCCGTAACTACAAAAGAAAACACAATGCTTGTCAAGAGCCACCTTCCTACTTCTTTCTATGGTCCAATTAATTAGGTCGACTCCGTCTTTTGTAATAGAAAATCCGTCCCAGGTTTATGTATAGTAAAGTTTAAGCCGATTGCCATTGATCTGTGTCGTAAATTTAGTATCCATAAAATCTTCCAATTGTAGTGAATCATTTGGAAATCTGTCAATAACTCGATATGTCCTATGCCATTGAACTTAAAATTTTCCTGAAAATTTTTTAAATCGACTATCATAAAGAAATATCAAATCATTTGGCATAAAAGCCTATGGTCTAAGCTTACTATCATAAAAAGTCTTCCTTCGTTTTTGGGTAGTTTCCATTATCATTAATGCATTGACTCTAGTTTCATCCAATTTTTCTAATTCTTCTAAACGGTGCCATAATGAATCCTGATCTCCCAATCTAGTATCTATAGCAATTTATAAACTTTGGACTTCCAATTCAATAGGTAATATTGCTTCGTAGCCATAAACCAATTGGAAAGGAGTAGCATTGGTAGTAACTTTATATGCAATACAGTATGCCCATAAAGCTGCAAACAACTTAATGTCCCAATTTGTTCCCGCTCTTGAAATTGTTTTTGTTAAGATTTTACATAAAATTCCATTAGTCTTTTCCATTTTTCTAATGGCTCTAGGATGATACGGTGTAGTCTTTCGATGTTTTATCTCGTATTTAGCCGTGAATACTTCAATTATACTATTTATAAAATGAGTTCCTCGATCACTAACCAATTCTCATAGACAACCAAACCGTGTAATAATATTTTCATACAAAAAGGTTGCTACTGTACTTGCACTATCGGTTTTCGTAGCTATAGCTTCAGCCCATTTTATTACATAATCCGTTGCTATTAAAATATACCATTTTTGTCCATTTCTCGAGGCTGGTGCAATTGGTCCCACAAAATCAATTCCCCATTTTTCGAAAGGCGCTTGAGCCAGAATTGGTAGCAATGGCATTGCTGAAGTTCCAATAGGTCGACCTGTTCTTTGACATGGATCACAATGATGGATGAATTGGTGGGCATCTACAAACATTGTTGGCCACCAATAACCAGTCTCTAAAGCTTTACGAGCCGTATTGTCCCCCGCAAAATATCCACGATAATTGTCTAAGTAGCAACCTTCCAATATAGTACGCACTTCAGTCTAATAAATACACCATCGCAAAACTCCATCCTTGCCTTATTGATATAAAGCTTCACCAATCATCATATAAGGTGCACATTTTAATATTAAGCGTTGTTTAAGCTTTTCATTGAAATTGGGTGGAAAGGTTTGAAATGTCAAGTATTGAATTATTTCACTATACTTCGAAATAATTACATCTACGGCAAACAGTTTCGCATCGGGTAGTGCATCGTTAATAAGTTCGTTACTCAATATATTGGATAACCAAGATAAATTGTCCACATTAGAATGTGATTTTCCTGGTCTTATCTGAATAGTAAAGTCAAATTCCTGCAAGAGTAGAATCCATCGTGCAATATGACCACTCAATTGAGGCTTATTAATCATATATTTTAAAGCATTATGGTTGACATGGAAAACAAATTTATAACCAAGAAGATAATGTTGAAACTTTTGTATGGAATAAATCATCGCCAATGCTTCTCATTCAATTGTTGTATAATTTCTTTTAGCTGCTACTAATTGACGACTTGCATAGTAAATAGGGTGATTAAAACCCCGGTCATCTTTTTCGCTTAGCACAGAGTGAATCGCGACATTAGATGCATCCACATAAACTTGGAATGGTTTTTTCCAACAAGATGCAACCAATATTCGTGCTGAAACCAATTTATGTTTCAATGTTTCGAATGCAATTGTACATTCCTTTGTCCAAAATGGATTGGTCCCATCGGTTGGTGGTTTCTTCAAGAGATTTGTCAAAGAAAGGTATATAATTGCAAATAGATAGATAAATCACCGATAATAACTAACATGGCCGACAAATGCTCAAATACCCATAACAGTGTCTGATTGCTTTAATTCTACTATAATCTTTATTTTATCTGGATCTGTAGCAATGCCTGCCATCGAAACTATATGACCCAACAGTTTATCAAAAGGCACACCAAATTGGTACTTTTCCAAATTTAAAAAAATTCCATATTTGGCACATTGATTCAAATATTGAGTGAAACATTCTAAATGTCTGGTTCTCGTATTAAATGTACAAAAATCATCTAGAAATATTTCCATTGAAATTCGTAGATAATCTTGGAATGCTTGCATCATTTCCCGTTGAAATGTAGCTGGTATATTACAAAGCCCAAATGGCATAACCTTATAGGCAAAGGTTCCCCAATCCGTAGTAAAAGTAGTTTTTAACTGGTTTTCTTTTGCAATCAATTGATAAGTGCAATTGATTTCATCTTTCTTGTGCTTGTTTCTAACTAAGATATTAAGAAGTACACTAATTTTGAGTTGATATTAATAGTTTGATCATTAGTTGTTGAGATTCCAATTTGCTATAGAATTTATCTACAGTTTAGTTAGGACTTATGATTTGATCTAAGATTTGGTTAGGATTAGAGTTTGTTTGGAATTTGGTTTAGAACTTGACTAAGGTTTGATTAAGCTTTGTCTAGGATTTTCTAAGATTTAGGGTTTTATTAGGATTTGACTTAAGATTTGATTAAAGTTTAATTAGAGTTTTAATTAAGGCTTGACTTATGATTTGGTTAAGTTTCAATAAGGGTTTTAATCTGAATTACATTAAAAATTTTATTTTTGGTATTTTTATAAGATTTTTGTTAGTTCTTTAAAGGTTTATTTTTATATTTCTTTAAGATTTTTTTTTAATATTTTTCTTTGGAATTAGTTTGGGACTTCTTTGTGTTTCTTTTATTTCTTTTAAATTTATTTTTGATTGGTCTAAATTTGATTAGGGTTATTCAGGTCTACTTAAGGTTATTTAAGATTTTATTAGACTTGGTAGAATTATTCTTGCATTTCTACTTACCTTCCATAGCTAGGCACTCTGTGCATTGTTAAGCGAGAATATGACAACATTCCTAATCCCCGCCCCTGTCTTTAGCAATGGTTGGAAATAGAAATGGTTGGGAACAAGGATAGAGACTAGAAGGGTGCAATGATGGTGAAGATACCATGAGTTGATTTAATAAAAACTTAGGTTGCTTTATCATTCCCCTATATATATATATATATATATAAATAAATAAATTAATGCTTGAAGAACCAAATTCTTGCATACATTTCTTTATTCAATTCAAAGCTTATAAAAACACACACATAATAATAATATATGTATCTATAACAAAAGATTAAATGATTAGATGACATCGTATAGTTCATTTGAAAAGGTGACGACATTCATCCCTCATTTAAGATTAGGGTTTGTTTTTGGCCACCTCGCCTCACGAATGCAGAATGCAGAATGCAGAGAGAGACTCATTCATGCAGTCGAACCGCAGCAGCATTTTTAAATTATGGCGCTGCTGCTGTGTTGTTGCCACGGGCCTCGGAGTTCGCTATTCGCAATGAACCTTGACGATTATAAGTTATTCTGAGTTGCACTCCGCTCTCAGTTTAGTGTTTGGAGCAGCAACTTCGGCAGCTGTTTGTGTAGGAAAATTGCGGTGCGCACTGTGAAGTTGCGTATCTAATTCACGTCATCGCTTTCTTGCAGTGTTTATCTCTACTCGGTACCACGTGTTTTTATTATTATTATTATTATTATTACTAATTTTTTAGCGATGAAGCTCACGACTCGACCTTAAGCTGCGATGAAGTGTTTCTTTTCTTTTTCAAGAATATGGGATTTCAAATAGAAAATCTTGCTTGAGTTCGATCGTTGCACTGCTGAGGAGGCTCTGTAGTTTGGAGGCTTCAATTTTATTGAATGAAAGGGGTGTATGTAGGAATAGGAGTAATTGAGTGAGGTGTCCCTAGCATTAAAGTTGCGATCGTGTCGGCTATGGCGGCAAGGAGGATTTTGATGCTGCATCCGCGTGCTCTGAATTTGAATTTGAAAGGTTTGAGAACACAGGCCATGCCTGATGGGAGGGAAGAGAAAGCGAGGCCGAAGCGGAATTTTGATTTGAAGGGACGGACTGTCCGTGAAATTATTCGCAGTAGGGAGGAGGATTTCGATCATGTGGCTGCAAAGCAGCAGGGGTTGCGAACGGTTTTGAAAGTTCGGGATCTCCTGATGCGGCGGCCAGGGCGGTTGATGGATATTGCAGAACTTTCCACGCGACATCCTGACTTGGCCGAAGCTGTTCTGGATTACCCTGGTATTTTCAATGTGATTGATTATGGGACTGGATCTAGTCTCTTTTGTTTTACTGCGGAGGCGGAGGCTCTCCTTAAGCAAGAGGATAACTTGAAAGATACAACCGAGGCTCATTCGCTGCGTGTAATTCGAAAAATTTTGATGCTATCAGTTGAGAAAAGGCTCCCCCTTAGAAAGCTAGGTTTGTTAGCAATGGATCTTGGTTTGCCGAGCGACTTCAGTGACTTGCTCAGCAGACATCGGGATTTTTTTAAGCTTTCAACCACCCTGGACTATACGACCTGGGTGAGTCTTGCTTCGTGGGATCCTGAATTGGCAGTAAGCTATGCGGAGATCGATGAAAAACAACGAATGGACGGTAATGTTCTATCTCCTCTTTACGTCTTTATGCATTGTTGTTTTCTCTAGCTGGTAATTTTTCCTAGTTGTAGGAAGTTTTAGGGGTCTAGACTGGTGGCTGAAACCAGAATGTAAGCTTGGTATTGCATGTCTTCCATCGAAGTCGATGAACATACTTCATTAGAGGAGTACAGAGATGTTACATTTACATATGACATATTCATCTTCACGAACACGAATTTTAATAAAATCAAAAAACAAAAAACAAAAACAAAACAGAAATCAATTTCCTGGGTGTGCAGTGAGTTTCTTACTCCCTCTAACTTTGATAAGTTTTACAGGTCTGCCTGCTGTCGCAGTGAAAGCTTGATATGTAGATACATGTCTTGGTTAGTCCAGAGTTCGTTTTTAGTTGAAAATGAGCTAACCGATTTCTTACAGCAACCCGGATTTCTCCGGGTATTGACATCTCTATTAATCACAGTCATGAACCCTAACATACCGATGGTCTATGGATGTTTTGGGTGCATTACAGGGACGATGAGTCAAATGGAGATGTGGACACCGAAAGGTTATATTCTTTCAAAGAGACATAGGAAGGTTCTCGCTCGGTTCCGAGAAGCACCATTTGTGTCTCCATTTTCAGATTTTAGAGATTTAGAACCTCTTAAGATCAAGTTTGAGAAGCATGCCGTTGCTGGAATGCAAGAGCTTCTTAATCTTACCTTGCACAAGAATCTTGTGCTCAGTAGTCTGGCAGAATTAAAAACTGAGTTTAGCTTCTCAAATAAGCCGTTAGATCTTGTTTTAAGACACCCCGAATATTTTTACGTCTCACCAGTCGGAGAGCAAGAAACTGTATTTTTACGGTCTGCATATAGAAATGGTGAACTTGCTAGGAGAAGTTCATTAGCTTCAATTCGAGAGCAATTAGCGAAGTTGCTAGGGATTAAGAAAATTTAAGAAAAGTAGAATTGAGAAGGCACTCTTGCTAATGACTATCAATGTAGGTCATGTGCACCTAGGTGATATCACTGCTTTATAATTATCAGTGCTTTGAAGCTACCAAGTTGTTCGGCACGCATTGGTGAGGACTCAACAAGAGTTCGCTACCGTTATGTCTAGAAAGACCGGCTTGCACATATGATGTACGATTCAGAGGTACTCAAACTTTCTAAACTATTTCCTCTCATCTCTAGATACTCAAACGAACGTTTCACATGATCATATGTATATTGGATGCTCAAGCAAGGCTACTATAACTTAACTGTTAGCGCATCTGAAGTTGTTGTGCACTGAATTCTGTTACAACATGACTTTTTTCTTACTGCGGCTCTTGAAGAGATCTCTTCTGTGCAGAGAACGTTGAGCTACGATTTGCGAAGTACTCCTTGGCAACCCTTTGTATACAAGGTCGACTTATTGAGACTGTCCAATGACAATAACCCCGGATTCACCATTGATCCGCCTTTGTTATTCAAAATTTGTGGCGTTCAGCTCTTGTATACTCGCCGATGTTTTGTCATCGGTGTTGCTTTGTTTTTCAACGTGCCGAGAGTTGGTATCTCGAATATCTGCATCGATTTCACACATTCACAGATGTTATGCACCAATCTCACTTTGGTATTCACTCCATATCATTAATTTTGATTCAATCGGTGATTTATGTTTTTGTAGGAAGGTGCTCCTTACAGAATGGTACAGAATGGTCCAGATTGTAAACCAAAGGACTGGAAGCGGGATATATATTGCAGCTCGATGTAGAAATTTACAGCAGTTTTGCCAGACATCATTGATGTCTTTTGGGTCATGGTGTTGTTTCTCTTTGCCCGTGAATTTCTGCTTTGAAACTCTGCTTGTGTATATTTTTGTGTTCTTTCTCTTTGCGTGAGTATTTTGAAATCCAAGGGGTTTGCACACAAGGTTTCTACAGATCTTAAAACTTAAAAGATAAGTGTGGAAGTTACAAGATTCTTTTATTTTTTTATGCTTAAACCTAATGTTAGATATTAACATTTAAATTAGTCAATTGGTTCCAGTTTCTTTGCCAACTTGTTTTAAAATATAATCTTAGTGAATTTATTTTCTAAAAAAATCAATTTAGTTTTTCGTTTCATTTTTTGGTAGACTTGGATAATTCTTATTAAAATCTTAAAACTTAAGCAACACTCTTACAAATTTATTTGGTAGTTTTTTTTTGCAAATTTTATTTTATAGTTCTTTGAACTTGTGTTTTGCAACAACTTTAAATAGCTTAGAGACTAGATTATTTTGGTCGTAAAAATTTCAATTAAAAGCCCATAGGAATCTTGTGTATTTTATTTTGAAAAGTTTTATAGAAATAAAAATATTAAATCAATATTCGATAATTGAATTTAAATATAAAATCATCCAATTTATAATAAATTCTGATATATTTTATCATATTTTGTTTCAGCAATATTAACATGATTTGGGTTTTTATTCTTTAGTAAGATCAAATTCATTCTTTTTATTATTTTTTGTATTTATCATTACATTTAGAATCAAAAGATGCAATTACATTGATATTATTTGATCAATTTTTTAAAAACTTGCTATCTTTTCTTTTCTTTGTAAGATTTGAAATTACAAATGCTATAAGTTCAATAATCTTCATTTAAATAATTGCCTCAAAAATCAATTATATACATTCTAAACAGCTCATTTCTTTTATTCCACGAACATTCACTTTGTTTCTGTAGCTGAGTATAAACTCAATTGTACTTAAAATTGAGGTAAATTTGAAAGAAGTTTGCAAGATGTCCGCTAAATAAGGAAGCAAAGAAAGTACACCATTACTTTTTAAAAAAAACAAATAAAAGCGAAAAGATTAAACAAGGAGGGGAGGAGGGGGAGCCTTGGATACGAGACACCGTACCAATGCCTACGGAGTCATACACATCTGGCATTTGATTATTTTACTATTTACGAAGTATATCTGCGATCCGGCCATAATAGGACTCCATTGATTCCCCTGCAAACATCCTGCTATTCATAAAACTTTCTCTAAGCCGATCTTCAAATCCAATTGGTCTAAAATGGATTAGGAAGGCATTCCTCAAGGCCTCCCAATTGGAAAATCTATCCATTGGTTGCTGAATATACCATTCAAAAGCTATATCTTTTAAAATTGCTGGCAACCATCTCAACCAAATGTCTTCAGTTCTACCATTATTAGCTACGCAGGCTGTCAAGTATTGAGATATATGGTGATCGGGATCAGAGCCCGACCAACCACTAAAAGTAGGTAATAGTGCACACTTGTAGTTCGGTCTCCTACTGCTCCCATTTGTACTGCAATTGGTACTTCTAGCACTCCTGTGGCTATTGGTGTTATCACTGGTTTCTTTGGTATTTGAATTTGAATTTTTCTTCTTTTGGTTTTACTTGTACCTACAATTCCTTTTTGTCGTTCCCGTAGGAGATTTCTTATGCATAATCGCTCCTGTCTTTCTTTTGCTTGTCGATTAATTCTTTGATAATCCTTTCCTTCATGATTATCAATTATAATCTTTCATTCTTCTTTACAAAATCAATATTGCCTTGAATTATAACTCACATATTTGTAACCCTAAAATTGGTTCTTTTCATGTTCTCATTCAACATATAATTCCATCTCCCATACAATCAATTTCTAACATTTCATATTATTATCATTTCCCCGGCAACGGCGCCAAAATGTTGTTCTCGTTGTATTCAAGCTTCAGTATACCAAAGCAATTGAACTAATAGAGGTGGGTTCGAACACGGGGAAAGAATGGTTATATGAATTGGGTCTATTAATGTCACAATTGACTGTACTCTGGCTATCTGAATCAATTATCAAACTACAAAACACCAAGGCTTACTACTTTCGTCTTAATTCAATCCATGATCCATTCTACGACTATCAATTTAACAATACTTCCATATTATTATTCATTCATCTCCCACTTATTCTCTTTGCGGTTTATATATATTCAATTATTGATCTCCAGTTTACTTATTGTATTCAATTTTTCAATTCATCACATAGAATTCAATATCTCGGCTTACAACTCTCACAATCTGGCTCTGATCTCTCTTTCCTCAACTTCTTTATCGTACCAAAAAGATGATCCGTCCGCCAGCAGATTCCAAAGGTTATGACCCTTTGAATTCTTAACCATTTATTCCACTAACAACCTACTGTTACTAACTAAACTGCCTAACCATCAATCTAATTTTCAAGGTTATCAATAACCAACGAATAATTTATCACAAAGTTTATTTATCTATTCTATAATATTTTAAATTATAAATTATTTTATAATCTATATAGTATTTATTTTAAAATAATTATGTATACTGTTTTTAAAATCTAATGAAGGCCAAATTTTAATTTCTTAAATATATTAAAACTAATCTAATAAGTACTCAATAAACATAATTTAAACAAAAATAAAATTTTATTACTTTAAATAGAATAATTTTAGATTAAATTTTTTGACATGCATAATAGATCATTGAATTTCTCAAATTTTAAATATAATCTACAATCTATTTTTTATTTTTTATTTTTTTAAAATTTTATCATAAGAACAACTTGTATAAATTGTTTTAATTTTAATATAGCTTACACTTTATCTATTTACATTTCTTACATATAAAAAAATGTTTTTGGATTCTAATATCTTTGTGAAAACAAAGTAGTTAACTTTAACCTGTATTAAAAAAAAATCACAATTATTTTAAAATTAGTACATCAAAAAAGTTAACAGCTATTTTTAAATAATTTTATGAAAAATGTTCATACCTTTATTATTTTTATTTCAAAAATCTTATTAATAACAATTACTTGTGTTCATAGAAATTCTTTCACAAAATAATAAAAAAGCAACAACAAATTTTTATTTCACTAAAAATAAAAATAATGATTAAAAATAAGTAAGTTGTACAAAAAAGGGTAAAAGTGAATGTGCAAGCCACAATTTTATATTCAATTAATAGAAATTGGCTTAATAATCTTTATAATGTTATTAATCGTATTTCTATTTATGTTATTCACAGATCTAAAAGCTTGTTGTCTAAACTATTAGAAATTTGCTGCACATGCAACTAAACTATATATATATATATATATATAGAAAGGCTTGCTTGTCAAAGCCTTTTACAAAATCAATTGATTAATTAAATTATATCTATCTTTCTTTATAAGTAATTATATGCATTCTATTTGTCCTTCTGTAACAAGTACTCATACAGGTGGGTCTAGATGTTTGGGATTAAAAAACTCAAATTTCTTCACTTATCTATTCTTTAATATATCATATGGAAATCAAATTCTTATATATATATATATATATATATATATGTATATATGAAATAAGTTATAATACTAAATCTATGTACTCAATTAGACTGTATGCAACAACGTTTATTCCCCATTAATCACATGAAGCAGTCAGTATACAAGTCAGGTCTCCTTTGGACATTGAATTGAATTGAATTGAATATACTGAGTGATAGAATTCAGTTTTACTGTGTCACTTCCATTTTCCACCACCATGGCATTCGCAGTTTCTCTCAATTGCAGGCTATACTATACTGAAATTAGTAAATATGCCAGTTCCACAAACTCTTACGCCCATAATAATATGTGGAGAGGAGGGAAGGGAGAGAGGCACACATGATGTTGTTGTTGTGTACCATGTGGTACTACTACTACTACTAACTGACTAACTAACAAACAAACTAGGTCTTCTCTCTCTCTCTCTCTCTCATTCGTTTACTCATTCATCAAGGGCATCATTCGTAACCCCCCCCCCCCCATACAATGCCAACCCACTAAAAGGATCTATTGAATGAATAGATGAATGAATGAATGAATACATTATTGAAGAAGAAAGAGAGGAAGAGGGAGAGTGGTGTTTCCACGAAGGAGCGAGAGAGACCCTGTGCTCAGCTCCCACCCCCCCCCCCAGCACTGCCCAGCCTAGACCCGCCCCAGCCCGGCCCTGACAGAAAGGGCAGGGAAGGGAAGGGCAGGGGCACATGGTGGGGGGGGGGGGGACGTCCAAGAAGAAGACATAGAATGAATGGGATGAATGGGATGAATGAATGCGTGTGCCTTCCCTCCCTCCGTCCCTCCCTCTGACGAAGAAGTCCCCTCCTCACTCGTTCGCATCCAAGCTGCCCCCTCCCTTCCGCGCCTGGCCCCTGTGGTAGAATGAATGAATGGGGCTCGCATTTTTCTTCTTCTAAGTTATAACTTAGGGATTGACAACCAACCAACCCAACCCCCTCCCCCAATTTTAACTAGTTTATAAATTAGATATTGTAATATCCTTGGGTCTAAACAATGGTCCACCTTGGTTTAAATTTATATGCTTCAGTTATTCATTTACTTGTTCTTTTTTTACATTGCAAGTGGTCGCAATATTTGCAAAATGTCATATAATTAATTATTGGTAAAAACAGGATTACATTTTATTTGTTGATTTATAGATTGTAATAAGAAGCTCAAATACCAACTTCGTAGCTTCAGTCGTATTGTGGATTTTTCAGAAATAATGTCCAAAAACCACAAAGTTGGGAATAAAATAATCAAATTCCAGTTTGAATTCTTAAAAAAAGTTAAACAGAGTTCATGGTTTCAAATTTTAATGTATATCTTAATTCTATGTCAATTAATGAACTTGGGAAAATAGCTATATGTAAGTATTGTTGACAAGGAATTTAATTAATAGAAATGATAATGATTTAAGAATTTTAAAAGGCTTTCCTTCATGCTCTTTTACTTATCATGTATTTTAGATCATGGTGCTCCTCTATTGCAGTTTATATGGATGAATTACACTCTTAAGCATTTTATTCTATGTAATAAAAATAATAAAAAAAAGAAAAGGACAAGAACAGTATACCAAGAATAACTTTTATTTATTCAATGCTTTTGATCCAATTTGAAAGCTTTAAAAATAACTTAGTCCTAAGGCCCCACCCTTGAGCATCTTTTGGGTAAGCAACTATTATCTTTAATAATTATGTTTTAAAACAATACTAGGTACACATTTGAGATTACTAGAGTGCAAACACAAGATTTTATATCAACGTTTATTAATGAAAGGTGTATCAAAATTTTGTGATTTGCACTTTGGACTTTTAAAACATTCTTTGGAAAAATGGAATACAAATATTATTACACAACTCAGGCTAATTGAAAAGTATGGTTAGTTCATGAATTATTTTTTAAAATATGTAATACGTGTTTTCTATTATTTGTCAAACTAAAATATTTAACAACGCTTACTATTCTCTGAATTTAAATACCTGAGTAATAATAAATTTAATACTCATAAATTTAAAAATCAGGTATTTCAGTAAATAAAATACCTGAGTTCTCTAAATTTCAAATTTCAGTTTTTTGATGCTTTTGTATGAATACAATAAAGAATCATAAATATTGATTTTCAGTTATTATTATCAACGTCATATCCATGATTCGTTCAACCATTAATTTCTAAAACAATAATTATAATCTTCTAATTTTTAATTACATTCATTTATTAGAGGAAGCCAAATATTGCAATTTGTATCCTTTAAGTTTGTCTGAATGTTATTTCCGTCATGAATAATCACATATTTAGATTATAAAACAAAATAAATGATTATGTGATATTTCATTGAGATTTTTCTTTTCATGAAAAATATTATTGGATGGCAAATGGTTTAATTTTGGTGGTGTCGAATTTATTTTTTGGATTGGAATATTTTATAAAGTGATTAAAGAAGTATAAAAAGTTGTTGCAAAACCTTTTTTTCAAAATAAATGCATCCAATATAAGTTGTATTGATTTTACTAAATATTCTGTTTCTTTGTATTTTGTTTATGAAAGGAAATTTAAATTGATTGACAAGTTTAAGCTGTACCGTAAAACTGTTTTTAATTCATGCTTCCTCTTTGTTGTTACATTGTGTTTGTGTGTGTATGCGTGTATGTTTTTGTCCCGTATGATTTGTACAATCGTGTTTGCGTGTGCATGTGATTCTAGTGTTGGACTCCATTGCACTATGCAATCCATGATGTGGCTACCGTGTGTCGTTGTGCGATGAGCTCTTCTCTCTTCTCTGTCATCGCCGACACAGCGAAGTACTCACGACCATGTGCACCTTCCAGCCTTAATTGATGCTATTAATTTTGATGGAGAATAGGGGCACTTTTATCACCATGAGCTGCAGCTCTATGTATGTCCTCATCGACCAGGAGAGGGGAAGCAGCAGCCTGGGTTACACCACATTCATCGCTGGATGCACAGGGCTCCCGAATTCCAATGCAGTTGTAGCAGCAGGTGTTGGAATTGTAGCAGTACAGGATGTGGACTATCTTGTGCGTGGCCGAGCATTTTCTTGTGCAGCAGCAGAGCTGCTGCTGCTGCTGTTATTTAAGCCGTTGAAGTTGTTGTTGCGGCCATTGGTTCCTGTCAGCTGACCATCCCATTGTACAAACCACAATGCTTCACTAGCTTGAATGTTAGCATGTGCTGTGGCTTCAGAGGGAGCTGCTTCCAGCTGCCAAAGGATGCAGCGTAACCAGTGAGGTAACTTGTGCAACCAAGCGCTCTTGTTTTCCAATCACGAACAGTCAAAGCTTGGCTCTCACCAGATCCCATTCCAACGCAGCAGCAGCTGGCACGTTGAATTCGCAGTTCAAACGCATCGCCTGCTTCTCAGGTGGAGCACCGGAAGCAGAGAAACTAAACCTTTGATCTCCAATGAATCTCACAAATTCTTCCAACAAAGGGTTAGAATGTTATCATATCAATAGAAACCTGCAAGTTGAATTTATGCGTGACCGTGAGTGTGTTCCAGGCTTTTCAACACCGAAGTCGCAGGGAGTAATTTCGATGAAAGCTTTATCAGTGTGAAGCAGGTTTAATCAGCGGTACGGAGAGGGGCTTACGCCAGAAGTCTCGTCCGTGCACTGTCCGTCGACGACGACGGCTTTAAACATGGCCATCATAGATCTCTCTGCACCACACTCTGGTCTCCTACATAGCAGCCGCCCCCGCCATCTCCACAGAAATTCACTCTCCCCTTCAGCCGCCTTCATGATCATGCACTAGCTTTGCGCTTCGACCACTACCGTCTTTTTTCTTTTTTCTTTTTCTTTTCCAATTTCACACCCCTATGATTTTAATTTCGGAACATTTTTCTCCTTCGTCTGAGTTGTCTCAAGCCTGAAAGTTTATCTAGCCTCCATTTAGTTTGTGAGTGATCATCGCGGTCATACTTTCAGATGTGCCGAACGTCTCCCCGTGTACTTCTGGAGGTTTTCAAGGCTGCGTGTGATTGCATTAGCAACTCGTACTGCCCAGCTGAGGTTGATAGATTCATCTTCACTTTGTATCACTCGTTTCTTGAATCAAGAGCATGTTTCCTCGGGACTGCTGAACCTGGCTCCCGCAGTTAGCAATGTTGCGTGATTCCCATGTATGATTTTACGTTAGATGATTGATTCTTCTCGCATGTGTTTTAACGCTTTACACTTGGAAGTTTCAGTAGAGCTGCCGACTTACAATCCAGTTTGAGAGGTTAGACCACCTAACATCTCATAGAAGTGTCTGGTCTTCGAGTCTTCCTACCTCGCTGTGTATCTTTGTAGTTCTTTTCATGATATGTTTCCCTTAACGACATTGTCTTGACACCCCAACTTTGCCCCCCCATTCGAACATCAGCACTGTCGTTTCCGCAACAGATATTGAACACCATAGTGTATCGATGGCGAAGATCAACCTCCTGTTCCTACCCGCGCAATTCGTGTTTTCGATGGCCTTTCTCGTGCAAGATATAGCTGGTTCGGACAGCCACTGCGGGTGGAGTAATGCTCATGCAACCTTCTATGGCGGCCATGACGCCCATGGAACCTTGGGTACGAGCCCCGGTTTCTTGACGAATTTTCTCTATTTGTGATCGCAACATGCTCATCTTTAGCTCATCTGTATGAGACCTGCCCCGACACAAGTGTGACGCATGTTGGTATACGTAGGTGGTTCTTGCGGCTATGGAAACGTCATCGCTCGCGGTTATGGAACCAACACCGTAGCGCTGAGCTCTGCACTTTACGGCAGCGGACTCTCATGCGGGTCGTGCTTCGAAATCAAGTGCGCAGGGGGAGAAGGTTGCATTCCAGGCAGTGGTGCTGTAACTGTCACTGCTACCAATTTTTGCCCACCAAACCCGCACAGACTTCCCAACAATGGAGGCTGGTGCAACATGCCCAGACAACACTTCGATATGGCTCAGCCTGCATTTCTGCGCATTGCCCAGTACCGCGTGGGTATTGTGCCTGTACTGTACAGAAGGTACACTACCTTGGTCAAAGCTTTTGATTACTGTAGATTAGCTAGAAATGATTCATAATTAAATGGCTTTGACTATTCGTGCAGAGCTGCGTGCAGGAGGAGTGGGGGAATGCACTTCACCATGAATGGGCACAAGTTCCACAACCTTGTCCTCATTTCAAACGTAGGTGGCGATGGAAATATCCGAGCAGTGAAAATCAGAGGATCAAAGACTGGGTGGCAGCCGATGTGGCGCAACTGGGGTCAGAACTGGCAATTCAGCAGTAACTTGTTCGGGCAGAGTCTCTCATTTATGGTCACTACAGGAGATGGCCGCACGGTGACTAGCATGAATGTTGTCCCACCGTTTTGGAAGTATGGGCAGACTTTTCAAGGGTTGCAGTTCTGATCGAAATTCGTGATATCTGTGAATTATGAGCTTGAGTGTGTAACTTGAAGCACTTTGTTTAACATTGGATACATCCATAGGCGGACACCGAAGATATGCATTTCCCATCAGCTCGGTTCTTTGCATATCAGTTGACTTGGCTGCTTTCTAATTGGTGTTCATAGACACGAAAGGTAAATTCGATTAGTGGCTTCATACATTAAATTTAAGTGTTCACATTGTTTTGATAGTATTGTATTTCAGAAGTTTACGTTGGTTCGAGCATTGATATTAAACAGGACCGAAAGATTAGAGATGTAATGATACACTATGAATACCCCGACTCAGGATTTGACTACAACTTAGTATATTTCATTGCACGGATGCAAGTCATACTGTTTGCAAAGTTATCATCATAGTCGGAATTGGCCAAGGTCTCCTCGGTTGCACCAGTAATTGAATCCAATTACTGGTTTAGAGCTTGTAAGTTACGACGTTAAATTCATAAATGGCAATGAAGCATCATAGAGATTCCCATCGAATATTTCATCTCAACCCTTTCGGGTTTCTCTGATGTCCCTATTCTTTTTTTAGTCATCTGCTTCAAGCAAAGGGCGAAACATCTTCATCGAAGAGATTATCTTACACAAGAACACTTCCCTTCAATGTACATATCCAGCGTTTTGATGGAGGAGGTCGCAATTCCCCAAAAAATAATCAGTAGGTGACATATGTAAATGTCAGTACCCCATCGTACCATAAGCTGAACCAGAGTCATCGAGCAACGGCATAGCGAAGGATGCATAGAAAGAAGACGTTTCCTAGGCGTCTTCTCCCTTGTGATATAGCTTCAGGGAACGGATCCTTTGGCACGGCCTTAACCAAGGATCAGATAGAGAAGCAATTCGCACAAAAAAAAAGCATGGTATTAAATACGTGAACCCTTTACGGCGAGAAAATCAACAAGCAGCTGAATACCGACAGAAGCAGCCTTGCGGCGGCCCTTGTTGTAACAACTAATTTACTGAGACAAATGACCAAAGTCTACTGCTTGAGGGCCTCGACGAAGCTGAAGACTACTAGACAACCATCACTACGACCATTCGTGAAAAGAGAATGCAGCAACAACTCAGGTTCCTCAATGACACAGATGAAGTAGACTAGTAAGCCTGTGCATATATATATATATTTTGCGGAAGAGACGAGTTCTTCTGCGGTAGGGTTAGGGTTTACAACACACTGGTGAGGCGAAGACCATGTTCCCCTGTTCCCCTATAATGAATGAAAATGCGAAAGAACGAACGAACTTCATCTCTCCAAGCATGGGGCTTTGAAAGAAGCTTCTACGTGGCTTCTATGGTCAGTTGGTTGTGTAGGCATGGATTAAGAGACATTAAGAATATGCATAGAGGATAAATGGCAAGTAATAATAAAAATAATCCTCACGAAAATATATATGTATATATATATAGCATCTTCGAATGACAAAAAAGCACAACCAGATTTCAACGTTCTATATTCTACACACGTAAAAAAATATATATATTTAAACGTAAAATATGGAAATGAACATTGTGTAAATAATGAACCAAAATGAACCCACAGTAATAATGATAATGATAATACTGTGTATAATAAAGGGTATTTAAATATTGAATGGTGATTAAATAAGAACAAAGTTGACCATTTCATTAGTAGTGAACATTGTATAATTGTAATGACGTGGATAATACTAAATCCATGGTGTTTGATTAAAAAATGGCTGAACAGTTGATGTAGATTACTTTTTTATTATTATTAGGCTCATGATATCTTCATATTGCAAGAAAATAGGTGTTTTTATTTTTTATTTTTTATTTGTTATGTGTTTTCAATTAAATGTTTTCAATTAAACGGAGACAGGAGACGAAACGATTCGTCAATGTGTAATATGCCAACCATCAACTTCTAATGTCTTCCTAATTTTTTTCAGTGCTTATTATATATAGTATTCACGGAATCAATCATAAAGAAATAATTTTGATACATTTTAAAGTATTTTGATGTTATGTTAGAAAGTAGTAGATAAATACACATCAATTAATCAATATCAATAGATACTCAACATCATACTTATATATATATATATATATATATAGGGAATTTTTAAATTTATCCAGGCATTTACTAAATCGACCCACCCATCCTAACCATCATAATAGTAATAAAAGAAAAAACATCTAGGTTCATTTCTCCACTATTGGATCCAAAACCAATGAAAACCAACCGCATTCATCATCAAGGGTAGGTCAATTTAGTGAAAACCTGGATCTATTCAACATTCCCCTATACATATATATATATATATATATATATAATATACATGGACCCAATAATTGTTTGTTAACCTAAAAATGGTTGTGGTGTGAATAATAATAACATCAATGATTGCAAAAAATAATAATTAAATGAAGGATGAAAAATTTAAATAGAGACTAACTTGCTCATTCACATCCGGATAAGCAAGAAAACATGAAATTTGCCCACTTTTTACCGTTCCATGTTGAGTTAAAATTAATTAATTTACTAGTTAGTGAAGGCTGCAAGGTCTCGTGAGTTGCTTCACAATATCCGCGTTCATACGGGATCGAATTTGTTCGCGTCGTTTTTAGTTCGAGTCTTAACCACGTTCTCTTCCTGGATCCCTAATCTTGCATCTGGGTCGCTTCGTCTCCTGTCTCCGTTTCTGTTCCCAATCGAAATTCCTGCACGTTTTTTCTCGAATCTTGAGGGTTGCATTCCGCAGACGGAAAAGACTCGAAGAGCCGTTTCCATTGAGCCCAGAATCATGTCAGGGCAACGCGTGATGAGCAATCCGCACCATACCCTAAGTCTCCTCAATCAACGAAAGGAGCAGCTTCAGGAAGAGCTTCGCACGGTTGAAAAGCAGGTATGGGGTTTGTCACCTTCGCACATGCTGTGCTTGAAATATGTATGTCTAGTGCTCATGTGGAGGATTGCAGCTCTTATTTTTGCGAACCAGTGATTGAGAGTGGTTCATTTCATCTGTTTATGCAGAGAGCGTTGGGCACTGCATGTGTCTCATATGTGCAGTGACACGACCTGCGTTACCTTTATTACGCTCGTTGATTAACTTGACTTGTAATTAATAGTTGGACGATGATTGACAATACAGATGAATTTTACTTGTGATTTGTAGTTGTACGATTTGGAGACCACATACCTGCACGATTCGAGCCAATGCGGCAATGTGCTGAAAGGCTTCGAGGGTTTTCTTTCATCTATGAAAGGGTCTGGCAAGTAAGTGGATTCTCTGGATGTTACGTGTAGCACTCTAGATAATTGTGATCTGTTAGAGGTGTGAAACTCGACAATGCTTTGAACAGTAACTTGTCGAGAATTTCAAGCTACATCTACTGATTTGCAAAAGTTAGGATTAGTCGATTTTTCATTTGAAGAGATTGGGAGTGTCGTACTCTATGCTTCTCATGTCTCTTTAATTTAACCACTTTTGTACGGTATGAACTCATCCCTACTTATCGTCTCCGGTAGGTTTGTGATCACGGGTCATAGTGGTTGTTTTTCATAAAGTCTGTATTTTTAACAGTCCTCAGTTCGGTGATGATGGATCATAGCTGACATAAGCCTCTCGGTTCCGCACATATTGTTTGTAAGCCTGAAACGGCCGCGAAAATTTCAACCTGAAGATCGCCTTTTCTCTCTATCGTCCGTGACTTCGCCGGTGGTAATTACTTCAAATCTTTTGTTAATTAATCAGTTGTGTTTTGAAAGACAAGTAGAACTGTTGACGCAAATATATTTTGTGTGCTAGTTGTGCAATATTTTTAAATCCTGCAATCTTTTTCAGAGTTTGTTAGTTTTGCTAACCGACATACTCTCTTCCACCTCTGTCTATGTTGTGGATGGCAGGTAGTGTTGAGCTGGAAAAGAAACTGACTATTTTTAGTCTTACGATGTGGATTAGATTACTGTCTCCTGCAGTTCTATGCGGTTCATTACACCTCTACTGGAAAGTGTCAGAAGCCCAGTGTCACATTTTGGTTTTTAACCTGCTTTTGGTTTTCTTATGATCTAGGTGGAGGAGTTATCTGGAGGAGGGCGTGATGCAGGTATACTATCAGAACTTGGTCCTGACTCGTCTTTCAGTTGGTGTGAATGTCTAGGATGACTACCTAGACAGATGCATCAATTGTTCCTCGTTTTATCTTTGATATCACATGTCTTTGTAGATGGAAAGCTCGACAGCGGCGGTCCTGGGCGCAGCAAGTCAAACGGGTTATTTGTAAATGGACCGTAAGTGCATATCGCTTTAAATAGTTTGAAATAGCTTTGTGGAAGTACCTCCGTGTTCACGTTTTTAAACCTAGTGGGAGAGCATTTTGTAGATTTTTCTTGTGGTTCGCATGAATACTTTGCATTGCTTGCCAAATCACCCTTATCAGTTGGTCATCTAGTCTTGGTTCTGCAGCAGATACTTGTGTTTTCACCACAGGTTCACTTTGAACTATGTTGGTTTTCATGTCCTTACAATCGTTTTTTCATCGTTCTGCAGCGGAAAGCAGAAGCGTGGCCGAACTGGACCGAGAGAAGGCAAGCGAATTAAGCAAGTCACTGATCATGGGCAAGATGAAGAGGATGAAGTTGACGGTTTCCTTAAATAGTACTGCTCAAATGACTTTGTGTTATAGCACTGAATGTAGAATGCATATATATATATATATATATATATATATATATATATATATCTTTTAGAGTTAGCTCACTTCATTACTCGAAACCATACGCATCTTCGACATGTTTACTTTAAAGGGAAGATCTTGTATTTTGATTTGGGAGGGCACTGAAGGTTCATTCATCTAGTTGAAAATAGTGAACGGAGTGGCTCAAGAACAAAGATTTTGGTCATCGTTCGCAAGATATGTAAATCTTTTTTGTTCACTGAAGTGAGCAAACGCTCTGTTGTATATTGTTGAAATTGCATAATCTGCACATATTGTGGACCAAACCGAGTTGAGGTCTCTCCTCAATTGTCATTCTCTATCACTTTCAAGTCGGTGTTCAAAGTTTGTAGTCATAGTTCGGTTTCAATATGACCTGCAGCAACTTTCTACCCTATGATCTGCTTCACGATACATGACATTGAGTTTCAGAATCTTAAGTCAATGAGGAGAGCCTTTAATGCTTACAAGCTTGAAGCGTTGCCGTATGTTCACCGAAACCTCGCTAAATGTAATAAGCATTCAAACGAAGGACTGCGTCTGTTTGTGGAGGAATTGTGCGCAGGAAATGCAGAAACTAATTAACGATGATATGGACCAAGTCGTCTAGAAATGCAACATGGTCCCTGTTTACGAACTCCTCCGCACGTAGACTATGACCCTTGTCAACGATCTAGCAAGTGCCTTGTGACCCTAGATCCTGACTGGGTCAATCTCATGCTCTTGCACGTTTCCTAGCGTTTGCTCAGATAATTCTTGTGGTCGTGCTGTTTGTGTACCTTATGCTGTTCGCATCATAGACCTTGCGCAACCAAATCCTTGCATTGGCAGATGTGCTCTAAAAGTAAAAAGAAAAAAGAAAAAAGAGAGAGAATAATCATGTCTCGTAATTTCTTGGAGTGGAAGGCGAAGGTAACTTTTTGTGCTATCTGAATAAAGCTTTAATCACCAGCAGGACATCAGCAAAATGTACATCGTGTGTCACTTATTCTCTTGATTTAGCTGGCCGGAGTTGGAATTCTTTGGCGAATCGAAACAAAACCCCCAACCGCAGCATTGATAGTTCCACTTTGGATGTGTTCAAGAGCGTGTGTTGATTGATTGCCTGGCATAGAGATCCAGTTTCCAAGGTTCCATCAATCTCTGTACGTTTTTATTTTTATTTTTATGACGGAGGCGAGACATCGATGCAGCGAAGTCCACCGCTCAAGCTAATAAGACTGCATGCCGGAATAGAAATTGAAAGGGCACCTACAGCGGCAAGTCCGGCTTACCCCTCGAAATCAACTACCAGTAATCTTCCTCCCTGTACTTCATCCGCTTCCAAATAATTGAATTGCACACAAATGATTTCATGGTGATTAGAAGCGCTGCTCGCAGAAACTAATTCGAAGGACTCGTTACTGCATGTGGTTCGATTTCGATCCACTGTCTGTAATGGCATAGTGCCGTCGTCACCCAGGTTTCCCGACAGATAATTCCCAATGCAACTACCAAACAGGCCCACTCCGAAACCAACTCGCCTGCCGTCTCGACATTCAGGTCCGTCGTAGCGATATCATCGCCATCGCACAAAATCGAAACCCTAATTCACCAAGCTTCCGTAAAATTTCGGCGGTAGATGAGGTTTGCAAAGCAAGGAGTCCGGCAACAAGAAATATCCATAGCCCGCAGTGTGAAGAGGGTTTTTACACTGCCAGCTCAACATAAGCCATGCAAACCATATTGAAGCAACGTCATATAATATTCTACCCTGTAGTTGGTAAGCTCAAACAATATGCTAACAAGTTTGATATTACATTCAATATCATATACAATGGCATCTTGCCTAATTAATATTTTTTAATTAATATTCCTTTCTTGCTTGGTAGATAATATTAGTTAGAACCAAGATTATAAAATTATATATATATATATATATATATATATATATTGGTTAATAATAATAAATAAATAAAATTTCATAAATTAAGTCAAGAATGAATTTTTAATTTAGTGATTTAAGCAGTGCAAGGTTGCATTAGTGCCAACAATAAGCCCTTTTTTTTTTACATTGGCTCTTTTTTTACATTGAAACTTGAAGCTTGTCTTTGTGTTGCATTAGTGCCAACAATAAATAAAGAGACAAGTCCAATGGAAAGGCAAGCTTCAAGTTTCCAATTCTTTGTTGAGAACAACATTAACAAATCTCATTGGTCAACTTGGAGACTTGGCAATGTGCCATGAGAATAGAAACCATATCAACAAATCTTACTTGGTGCTTGAATGACCCTCATGATCATTAATTCAAACTCAATAGCTCTTTAGTTGCCTAAGCTTTCCAATTCCAATCAAAAAATCCTGCAAGTCCTTTATTTTTCCATCAAGATCTTATTGAAACTTTGCTTATAAATCCTTTGTGGGCCATTGTTTCTTTACTTGTGTTATTGTTTCATATCCTTCTTGTAGTTTGTTACGCCCTTCATAGCTACAATTATTGAGGAAGTTTGGATTGATTCAATAAATTATAGAGGTGTAACTCTATGATTTCATATAAATAAATCATAGAGATATAATACATAAAATTAAGATGATTCTAGATAAATAAATAAATAATTGTGAACACTTTATGAAATTTCCATCTATTGAGGCTGTAAAATAGGTGAGATATCACTATAAATATAAAAAAATAAAAATAAAAAATAAACTATAATTATTCATATTTAATTTTGCAATTTTCTTGACTTAATTATATAATTAAACTTTAATTATTAATTAAAATATAATTATTCATATTCAATTAGTCAAGAAATCAAGTTAAAATTTAAACTTGATTTCTTGACTTAATTATGTAGTTAATATTTTAATTACGTAATTAAAATTTTATGATTTTCTTGACTTCATTGCAATTATATATGGTTTTTGTTATTCCATCAATTATGGTATTTTTACATAGATTGTATAATTTTTAACTAATTATATTATTTTTTATATTCTAATATAAATTTAAGAAGCATGGTGACAAATTTATGTAAAAATGATCATATATATATATATATATATATATATATATATATATATATTTGTGTATACATTTCAATCTAAACTGAAACAATTTTTGAAACTTTGATGATATGAAATTTTAGGTTCTTTAAATTTGTATTTTTTAATATATATATATATATATATTTATATATATTGATAAAGTTAATTACCTTTAAACATTACATTCTAATAATTTAGTATTTGATATGTAAATATTTCAAAAAAAAAATAATAATAATTCACAATATATTTAAAAATTTCTTTTAAGATTATCAAAAATATTTAGATAAATTTAAATGTAACTCTAGTAGATTAATATTTGGTACTTAAATAAAGTTACAACAAGTTTAGCATATATATATATATATATATATATATATATATATATCTATCTAAAATATTGCTAATGCTACCATAATTTATGTTGTTGCCACTACAACTTGCAATCCACTACATACCATCCACATCTTTTATTAATATCATTAATAAATTTTATTTATTTATTTTGACTAATATTAATAAATAATATTTAAAGTATCAACAAAAATAAAATAATTATAATTAAAAAAACTAAATAAATATATCAAATATGTGGCAAGTTATTGTTGCAATAGCAAAATTGTATTGACAACAAAAAATTGGAAACAATATTTTATTCAATAATATAATTGATGTGTAATAATAAGTTGATGCTATAGAAATAATCCCAATTAATTGGATAAATATAAAACATTGAAACACATGAGTGAAAATTACACATTTTTGATGATAACATATTCATAAGATTAAAGTTGGATAACTTTTAAAATATTTCTATGACTTTTCAAAATGTATAATAATTGCAAGTTAATTTCAAATTTTAAAAATTACTTTTCACACCAATGTTGAATTGAGTTCTTGAATTATGTCAAAATATAACATAAAATTTTATTTATTCTAAGAAATTTTAATTATCATTGAATAGAAAAGACTTTTTTCAATTAAAAGTATATTCAAATTTTACAAGATTTTTACAAAGAAATAATAGATTCATATAATTCTATTAGGAAAGTTGACACAAAAAAATCACATGTCATACGAAGGTCAAAAAAGCTTTTAAGATATTGAAGATTGCCTCTGCATCAACACCAAAATTAAGACATACAAAATTAAAAAAGAAATTATTTTTTAAAGAAATGAAACCATAGATTTTATATTGGATTTAATTAAATCACAATATAGAGACAATTTCAAGCTTCTTATATACTTTGTTATTATTATTATTATTATTATTATTATTATTATTTTATTTCAAATCAAATATTTGTATTTAATGTATAAATTCATAATTGGTACTATCTTTGTATGTAATTAATACCAAATATTATTGCTAAATTTGAATCATTATATTTTACATAAACCCCTTAAATCTCCACATTTCTCAGGCTGTTACTTTTTCTCTTTTTCATTCCAAACATCACAATATAAATGAAAATCAGAGAAAATATAAATTCACTTTTTCTGATTGCTAACACAATAGGTGAGTATTGAGAGACATATTGGTCCACCTTGCTTGTAGTGATCCATGAGCTGCCTCCTCCATTACACATTCTCAAACAAGCTAAACTAGTATGGACAACCACAAAAAAGAAAAAGACATGAACAAAAACATCACAATTTAATAACCATGTAATATTACAAGAATTTGGTAATTAACCATCCAAGTCTTCTGAAAACAATACAAAAAAAGAAAAAAAGAAATGGAGAATGAATGAATTTCCAAAGGGATGAAAGCAAAACACATAGCAAGCAATCAGGCAAGCAAATGGACTTTGTGAAGGAAGGGCAACACCATCACAAAGGAAAAAGGAGGGGAGGGTAGTGACGTGGCCAAGGGAAGGTAGGTAGGTCGGTAGAAAGCATGGCAGAGGGTGGGGAAGGAACAGAAGAGGCACCCATGGCCCAACTGCCGTTTCTCCGTCCGTCCGTTCGTTCGTCCGTCCTATTGCCCCTCATCATCCTCCTATGACTGTTATTGCTACCTACCACCCACCACCCCCGTCACTCCTCGTAGAATCGTGTCTCAGAAACCTCCTTATTCAATCGACTGGCTCCGCCATTGTATGCCGTCAGATCGCAGCTGCCGCTCAGATGCGATATCAACCGTAGATTGGATTACTTGGAACGGAAAGAGGGAACGTAGGGGAACCAGGGGAGCGGGCAGGTTGGAGGGCCCTTCAGACTGCCCTCAATGCACATGATACTCTTGTTTCCATGAAGAATT